TTCGGCACCATAATTTGCATGGTGATAGTCCGCAAGCTTCTAGCTGGCCCTGGCCAGGTGTTGAAGCATCTGTCAGCCTCCAGCGAGGAGGAGCTGAAGGCAGGCCGGTCGACTCACAGTGCCCGATCCTGATCTGGCCTGGGCATGCCTGGGCAGGGTTCCGGTGAGCTGCCTGCAGACCCAAAGGCACACCGCACCGGATGAACACAGGTTTGCTGCAGGCTGCTAGGCCAGATGATGGAGTTGCATGCCAACATCTGCTGCGAGATGTGAAAGTAGGCAGCTTGGAAGAGGGTCACGGGCGTCGCGGAGGATTGCAGGTTGGACTTTATGTCAATGTGCCTCCCGCGAAGGTCTTCAGCAAGGGCAGCAAAGCTTTGCAGTTGCCACAGCTGTGCAGTGTGTCGCTGTGGGTTGGGCGTCTGAGCGGAAAACTGGGTGTTGGGTTCCCCATTCATGCCGTTGCAGCAAGGCGAACATGTTGGGGACCTGTCGAAGCGCACTTGAGCCAGCAGATAGAGACAAACGACTTAGTTGGTCGCTGAGGCCTCGGTCCTGGCTGCTGGCTCGGGAGCTCCTGGCGATGATGCTCGGGGCCACTCGGCGAAGTCGTCGAATTCGTCTGGCCGTATCGTGAAGTTTAGTGAAGAGTGCAAGGCTGGAGCTGGGACCTTCGATGCACGGAGCAGAGTCGGCATCCGAGTTCCGCTCGAAGTCTGCATGTGCCGTCTCTGGCGTGGTGGTGAGGGTGCATTGAAGTCTTGAAGCGAGCGTGCACCGGGCCGATGTCAGGCTGCCATGATTGAGATGATCCTGGGCTGCAGACAGGACAAAGCTGCTGGTGCCAACCGAAGGAGACAAAGCAAAGAGCACTTGAGAAGCTCAGGTTTGGCCACTTCGGCATTCCCGAACAGGTGATAGCTGGCAGGGCACTCGAGGGTGATGGCGTTCTGGCAAGCTTCTAGAAGCCGGGACAAGCACGGCCTCATGTGCTTTGTTCAGGTTGGGAGTCCGAGATCGGCGGCGCTCTGTTTGAGGCTTTGGAGGCAACGGACACATTTCGGAGCTACATTTCGGACAGGATGTGCGGAAGCTGCTGAGAGCCTGCCGTCGTATGCCGTCGTGGCTGTGCAGGCCTCAAGCATCCTCGAGGCACAGAAAGCTGCAAGAGGCAGCTGGAGGAATACCAAGGCCAGGCACACAATGCATCGCATAGATCCGCAGCCTCAAGCCCGTGGCCTCAAGCCCGTGCGCTTTATGGAGAAGTCGCAGTCGCCTGCCTGAGGTGGCCATGGCCGCGGCCGGCGGTGGGCTCGTCTTGGCCATCACTGGTGGTCTTGCTGCTGGCGGCCTAGCATTCCGCAGAACCTTTATTTAGCCATTCCCTAGAGCTGCTGCCATGAATCAGGCGCCCATCGTTGCACCGGCATTGGCAACAGGTGCCGGGAGCTCAACGAACTGGCTGGGTCCGCTGGGTGATTCCCGCCATCGCAATGCAGGGGTCTGTTGCGGACAGTCCTTCGCCAAACACCAGGCAGCAGCAGTCGGCGCGCAGGCAGCGGCAGTTGGCGCTGCGGTCGGCCTGGCTCACAGCTCATCAATGAGAATCGAAGCCATGCACCGCCTGCGTATGTCTTGACGATTTCACCAGCGAGTTCGCATATTGTCAACCTTGGCGAAGAAGATTAGTGACTGATGGCCCACGTCAGAAGCAGGCTTAACACAAGCCGGCGTGCTGGTTGGAGGCACGAAAGCAAGCCCGACCATACAGGTGTGCATGTGCTCCCGGTGTACCTGGCCACAAGGGGTAGACACAAAGACATGGCACGATACATGTTGCACCGAAGCGCCTACAGACATTGGTACGTTCTGTTTATCGCTTTCCCGATCCGCGGCTCTGCTTGACAATGTTGTTGCAGAAGAAATCTGGAACCTTGTGTTGTAGCCCGCTGATATGCCTTAGGCAAAGCACCTGCGCGGTGTTTTGGGGTTCGCTTCCGGCATCGTGGGGATTTTCAAGCTGCAGCTTCCAGATTTCAGGATTCTCGAGAAGCCAGAAGCCACCGAGACCTGCTGGCTTTTGGTCACTTCATCCGACAGGAAAAAATAATTGAAAATATGCACAGATTCACCCTGCCGTGTCCCAAATGCTGACCCCGGCTGCTTCTGCCGTGAAGGGGAGCGCCCCTAAGAATTCAGCGAACCTGCCTGTGAAAGGTGCCATCAGTGGCCTGGGAGTGGGATTGGGCTCGATCCTGGCTTCGCTCGGTGAGCTGTTTGTTTGCAGAAGTGGACTGCAGCGACTCGAATCGCAGTACCAGGTACAGCGGGGGCCGTGGCCTTGTTCGGCGCAACAGGCTGGCCCCTGAATTTTCGTAGCAAGCAGGAGCGCTATCCGCTGCCTGTAGAAGATCTGAAAGAGGCGCTGGACTGACCGGGTGGAAGATGTCAAAGCGATGGGGAGACCTTGAGGCGATCTCCTGAGGTCAAGGCTCCAGGCAAAGGGTTGTCCTTCGCTTCTTTTTCTTGTGCTGGGTGCCCCGGTGGCCCTGCACCCGGTCCTGCACCCCGCTTGCGCAGGAATTCGAATTCCAGCCATTGGAAACCAGCTTCAGGACCGCCGGGATTGAGTGTGGATCGGTGTGGAGCTATCTTTTCCTCCCATGTTGCAATCATCCTGGCACGGCGGCATCTACTCCGCACAGCCTCCGCCTCAGGACGATCCAGGAAACTGTTGACCTGGATGATGCGGTGCGATTCTCACTCTGTGAGCTGACAGAGGGTTCAATGCCTCATGCATGTTGTGCGATTCTCCACGCAGTTCCCTTGCCAAGGAGGCAACGGCAGCGCTGGATCAAGCAACCACCGTGCCATGGCAAACTGTTGGAGTGGTTGGTGCTTGCTTGGCGCTCACAATCCGCTGGTGTCATGGGGCTCTGCAGGCAGAAAGTCTTGAAACAAGATGTGATGAATCTGTGACGGTGGTGAAACTTCGGCGGGCCATGGGCAGCAGGTGACAGATGACGATGATGAGAACCCTGTACCCGGAGCCCGCTAGTCCACTAAACTTGTGAGCATTTCTTCCTTGAGCCTCAGATGCCAATTTATCGTTACGCAAGCCTGAACCCGAACCCTGGTCTCCAAGCTCGGGATGCTGACTCAGGAGGCCCTACTCAGCTTGCCCGAAGCAAGAAGATGTTTGATGGACTGGGGCCGGGTGGCTAAGGATGGCACGTTGCGCGAGGACGTTCGGACCCTCAGTTTGAAGCTTGGGCAGCACTGTGCGGCTGTTCAGATCCATGACGCTAGAACAGGTTGCCGTACCTATCACCGGCGGTGGGCTGCACGCTCTCCGAAAAGGCCAGCTTCGGTTCTTGGCAATTAGGCCGCCTTCCTCTCATAGGAGTCCAGTGCGTAAGCCATCTCACATCTGTCTTTTCCAGCCGTGCCCATCTGCAGACAAGACACGAGCAGTGCCGAAGCCGTGTGAGTGTGTTGGGAGACTTCCTTTGAGAAGAAGTACATGGGGGACATCCGTCGTCTCCGAAGAAAGCGACCCGCTGAACACTGAAAACCCAGCACCAAGACATGGAACGGCCTGGGGACACCCACACAAGCGACAGTAGCCTGGCAAGGAGGGCCATCTTCCCACACAAGCGAGAATGAGGATGTAAGAATATGTAAGACAGTTTGATCTTGTCCAGTTTGCAGGCAGCGAGCTTACTCGTCCCTACCTTAGCTTTTATGTTTCGAGGGGAGGAGCGGCAGGGAGAAGTGCAGCTCGGGCCCAGACTTGACAGCGCAGGTCGGCAGACCCTGCCTAATTCTGGCAGCAGGTGCCATCAGTTGGCTGTGTGTGCATTGATGGATGGCGCATACTGAGAAGCTGTGAACCTAAGGGAGGGGCAACTTGGTGCCGCGAGTCCTGGTGGGAGCACGACCGTGCGCTACCACTTCCAGCACAAGGTGGACCAGGCGCGAACGAGCGCGCTTCGTACGGCAGGGTCCCATCACGATCCTTGCTGTCAGGTGCAGAGGCCCATGGCCAAGCAAAGAAGAGGGCATTTCGTGAGCTGCCAGTCCACGAGATCCACGATGAGAGGTCCGTCCACTTGGCTTTATTCGTGTCTGGCTGGATACAAGACAGGCACCAGCCTCAGCGCTCAGGGCTCAGAGCTTCGGCGAGCAGAGCTGCACCGCCAGGGCTGACTTTCGAAAGCCGTGGATGGACGCAGCCAAGGTGGGGTGCGAGCGTTGATGAGAGGCTTGAGGCTGCTCCTGAAAATGGCTGCATCTCCTGTGAGGTGTTCTTCCCCAAGAGCGGTCACTTAGCTCCGTTCCCAGTCGGCAATGCTTTCTGCGGGTGTGGTCGAGTGTGACGCCTCAAATGACGGCATGGTTTGCGAGGCACTGCATTGGGAGACACAGGAGTTGCTGGATGTGAGCGGTGTGCTTTCGTCTTAGCTCATGTTCATGTGAAGGACCTCACTTGCGGGCATCCGTTTTTCTGCATACTTGAGCTCCGCTACATATTGAAGCCTGGTGATGCTGCAATATTCTGCATAAGGTTTGGGCAGATGGTCGCCCAGGAAGTGGCATCCAGCACCGCCGCTTCACAGCAGCTGGAAAACGTATGCAGATCATCCATCTGTGTGCGCCACCGCGAATAGCAGCACGAGGCATCGTTCTGGTCGGTGGCTAAGCGAGTCCGCTGTTGCTGTTTGCACACCTTCGGACATGAAGGAGCATGAAGTTGGAGTCCCGAAGGTTCAAGTCCAGTGCCGTGTCCACTGTGGCTGCAGCAGGCCCGGCACGGGAAGCCACGTACTTCCTGGCATGTAGAGTCTCAGCTAGCTTCGAACTCGCGTATCGAGTCTGGTCGGGTCAAGTCGAGTCACCACCACGACATGTTACCTTCTGACCCGCAGAGATGGTGCTGCCGCTGCCTGCTTGGCTTTCAGCTTCCCAAACCTATGGGCCCGCGCGGCCCTGGGGGATAGATGGCAGGGTCGGGGGAAGAATTGCTGCTTGGCTAGAGCCGGCGACACTTGCAGCAAAGCGACCGAAAACACTCAAAAGATCCGTTGCTCCCCGTTGGGCTTCATCCAAGGTACAGCTTCACCTACTCGGATGGCTTGCGCAAAGGACCCGAGCGAAGTCGTTGCCGATACCATTGGAAGTGACCTGTGTGCCAGTGGCAGGCTCTCACATTGTGGAGCAGCTCCACGTGGACAAGATAGCAGGGCGCTTTACTTGGACACGTGGCCTTCAGAGCGAGGGCAAGGAGGTGCTGCGTTGCGAGCTGTGAGCTTCGAGCTGTGAGAAGCTTTGGGCAGCTCCCGTGCCAGGTTGCTTCGAAGCGACAAGGTAGCTCCTATGTGATATCGCATGTGTTCTTGGCTCAGTCCCGCTATTACTTTCACAACATCACCCGGCCAATTTCACAACAGTCCTCGACCCGGTGTGAAGTCGAGGTCCAGCGTCCGGTTTGCAACTCGCCTGGGTGATCCCAACTCGGAGTTTCTGAGCGCCACGCGGCTTATTACCACGAGCCTTGACTCAGATCTGCCGGGCTCTTCATAGACCCAAACCGGCCCAGGCCACGCAGCGACAGCTTGTCAAGCATCGTGCGATACGGACTTGGCTTAGCAGCAATGCACCGTCCATACTGGGCCTGCTTGCCACTTGGCGGACAATCAGGCTCAAGGCAGGCATGTTAGCTGTTAACGGTTGTGAAGCAGCAAGAAAGGACGGCCCTCCGTAACCAAAGCTTTGTTCTGATGGTTTTAGTTTTTCTCTGACCACGAAAACATTGCTGTTCGTCGCTTCGGTTATGCCATTTTGAAGGGTTGGAGGCAGAGCTCAACCTTTGCAAGCGAAAATCTGAAACTCTTGGGCTGCTAGGAGTTTAGGGTTTGCGGTCACAGCCATAGCCTTCGGAGGGAACGTCGGTCTCTGGCAGGCCGTCCTCTTCAACGCCTTGACAGTGACTTTGGTACTGGCAGCATGCCTATGCCACGCCACATGGCAAGTCTTTCCTCAGGACGGATAGCCCTTTCAAGTTCAAGCTTTCACTCATGCCCAAGTACTGTCAAGACCACACTTTGCACCGTTGCGCTTTCCGCAGGCGGGCGATAGTTTCGACATGTCCCAAGGCCGGTGCCTCCTTCTTCTGCCTTCGCACATTTCTGGGCTTTCTGACTGCTTTTGTCTGTGCAGGCCCAGATTCGGAAGCGCTCGCAGCTGCTGCAACTCTTTCGGTCTTGACGGTCACTTGCATCAAGACATAGCTAAGGGAAGTGTTTCGTGCATGCAATGGTTGAATGGGGGGATTCGAGCGAAGGTGCTTGCCGCCACCGTGGCAGGTCGCTCATCTGAAATAATTGTTTCTTCAGGCACTACATATGTCCGGGCTGCAGATGCAAACGAGGATGCCAGGCTTTCTGTGTGTCGTCGCTCAGAACTTCAAACTCTTACAGGCATATTCCTAGATCATGACACCACTCCCTACCCACCCACTACCCAGCTCGTCGCTTGAATGCAACTCAGGCTGGTGGCTGGGCATCTTCAGATGCAGATGCTGCGGTTTCAAGGCCTTTGACCGTGAAACGGTGGGCACCGCGACAAGGTTGACTTCAAAGATAGCTACCTGGTGCGAGCTCCACACGGGCTGTTCAGTAGGCCACGTCGACTTCAATTGGCCTTTGGCTAAGCTGGAAGAACCGAGGCTGCGAGGTGCAAGATCCAGAGGCCTCTGGGCAGATGATGGCAGATGCGGTATCAGTGCAGGTCGAGTGAGAGGCTTGCTCGACGCTGTTGCCAGGCCGCTGACTGGGGCAGTTCTCGCGGTCTGTATACTCTGGCAGCTTGGCTGCGCAGGCTTCGCGATGTTTCGACCCCCCAAACGAACCTCTCAACAAGGTGCCTTTTCGTGCTGCTGTTGTGTCCGAACCTGAGAAGCCGCCTGCATGCGGACCACTGTCTTGACTCACCTGTCGTTAACTGAGGCCCGATAGCTTATGGCCTGAGTCGCCGAACCGAGTGCCAGGGGCTTGGCGGGGACTGGGCGCAAACTGTCCGTTTTTTTTCGTTTTTTTTTACACTTTATGCGAGCTCCTGGCAGGCGACGAGGGTAGCTGCAGCCCCGAACCGGGCTCTCCTTTGCTCCCCACCTGTGGTGTCGGCCGCTGCCGATGCGGGGGCCTGGCGGATCTGTGGGATGCCTACGACTTACGACTCCGCAAAGGTATGCATTAGCAGAGGCTGTGCTTGTCATTGTTTTTGAGACTACGAGACGTCAGTGTCTACTTATTTGTGGTTACTCTAGGTAGGAGGAAATATCGCGTCTCACCGAAACCGGTCTCCGCCCCGCAGGACATGCATTACAGCCAGTGCAGGACAAGACCTGTCCCTCTGCAGAAATGTGAAGCAGCAACTAAGCTGCAAGCAAGATTTGGCACTTGCTTCAGCAACAGCACGTGTCAAAAGGCTTTTCTTCGGGCAGGCCCTTTTTGCCGTTTGCACAGGCCCATGTGCACAGCCGCGGGCAGTGATCAAACTGCAAGCGGCGTGCACCTGCCGCTGTTGGCATCTGCCGTGGGGTCAACAGCCGGGATCTGAGCCTTGCAAGTTGAAGCTACGCTTTGTCATAGCTGTGCCCAGCGAGTCTCGCAATTCACCGCCTCTAGTGACTCTATTTTGCGGCAGGGTGTCGCCATACTGCTGGGCCTCGTCTGGCTGCTGAATGCTTGGGGCATGCGCTTCTGCTACCATTCAGAAGCAAGAAAACGAGACTCACCGCCACCATGCCATCCAAGCTCCAGGTATGCCGGCTGGGTGAGAGCAATAGATCCATCGGAGGTGGTCATGGTGCCCCAGGTGCAATACCACAGGCCCGCAAATGGGACGTTAGCCTAGCAATGCTATGATTGTTGTATTGAGGTCATTGCTATCGTTATGTATTCGTCGTGCCACGGTATGGTATTGGAATGTACTGGACATACATAAACCGCTTCAATGACGATGTAGATTATGTAGCTTAACATTCATATTCATAACTAGATGCGAATAATATAAACAAGACACAAAGACTAGCATAAACCTACAAACGTATATATATATATATAGAGCCATGCATGTATATATATATATATATACATACCTATGTAATGTATGTATGTATGTATGTATGTATGTATGTATGTATGTACGTGCTTGTCGAGTGCGAGTGCAAAAAAATGTCTGTACGTATGTGTGTATATGTGTGTAGATATTTATATGTACGTGTGTGTATATATATATATACATATATACATACATACATACATACATACATACATACATACATGCATACATACATACATTCACGCATGCCCATACACATGTCAAGTTGTTGGTATTCTGTTCGACAACGCCCGACCCTTGGCCAGGTTCTCTGTGAACTTCCGGTCTCGCAGCGATGGGAAGCTGATCTTCACCCTCAGCGCAGAGGAGCACGCCATAGCATAAACATGTCTTTCCTCCCATCTTGTTTCATGTACTACCTAAGAAGGTACATGCATATGTGTATACGCACACACGCACATACATGTGTACGCATATTTCGTTATATAAAGAAAAATATATATATATATATATACACACGTAATTATACGTATGTACATGTGTATGTGAACATGTGTCCATTTTCAACGCATCGGGTTGTCTGACAACTTTCCACGTAGACCAAAGCCATGTTCAACTCACGGCTGCAGGCAAATGCAGACAGGCCTCCTTTAAGCATTTATCTTGGGCACGGGGTGTTGGACCGCAAGTACGAACTATTGTCTTTTCAATCTCCATGTAACGTGATCAGCTTGGTGGAGTCACCCATAGTCTGATTGTTATTCATGGTTTCTGAATATCAATGGACAACCCCTGACAAGTCCAAGTTCATTACCGCCGTATTGTCTTTCTGATTCCTCACGACCTCCTCGCTCGGAGTTTGGTGCGCAGAAGTAGGGTATGCGTAGCTCAAGTAAAGTCGCCTAAACCCGGTTACCTTGTCTCTAAGTGTCATGATCCCTCACGGATGCTATGCTATTTCGAATGAAGTTCCCCATAAACGGCGTGTACGAGCTGAAATGGAAAGATTATGTCCCAGAGCTGTTGAATTTCGGTTTTCAATTATTCCCTCGGTGACCCCTCATGGATCCTCACCACTGCGTAGCCCCTTCTATTCCTTGCTGGCCCTGCTACCATCGTCACGTGACTTTCCAGTGCAGAAGCCGCAAATCCTGACGACCCTGTCATCCTAAGCTACGATGCTTATTCTGGACTTCTGAACTAAGCTTTCCAGAATCTATTCGGCATCTATCTATCTGTTTATCCATCCTAGCAAGCCCGCAAAGCCGCAGTTGCCGCGATTCGGGCTGGCGCACTTGATACCAGTATCATGGCTGGAGGTTTCAATGTCGACGCAAAGGTTCATGGCCGTTGCACAGGAAAGCATGTAGTGCAACGATGGATACATGTTGTAAGCTCGTCAAAGTAGTTGCTAGGTCGCGGGGGCTGTCTTTCATACAGACATTGGGGGAGGATGTGTGGGCAGGTGACAAAGGATTGTAGATTCATAGTCCAGGCCATGATTGTCTCAGTGCGGATTTTGAGCAATATGTGATGAGAATTCGTCTGGTTCATGTTGGTAGTTATGTTGGTAGCAACTTTACTTGCAGACATCGTTGTGGCATGTTTTGGGCAGGAATAAGAGTTCAGCACTGCTTGGCCATCTTACTTTTCCTACCACATTGCTTTGCCTCTTAAATCTGCCAAGTGTTCTCTGTGATTGGTCGCAGGACGACCCGCACGGGGTAGCTGCTGCGCTGATGCCGCCGGGCCCGCCTCGAGGGCGAGCCGGACTTGTTCGGAGCCCGGAGTGCGTGAGAAATGGGACCTTCCGAAAATTAGGGTACCTTATTTTGGGGCCCTTGTAATAAGGATCCTATTATTTAGGGTGCTATCTTAGGGTCCCCTATACTCGGACACCCCCAAATGAGTAGAGAGCCTTCGTCTCATTGCTGTCCGAAAGGTTGTTGGCTTTGAAGGTAATGCTGATATTAACTCTACCTCTTCTGCTTCTCGCAGTAGGTGTGAATGCCGCCTGGGTTGCTGTGGTCTCTTTTTCTCTTCGGGGAATGCTGCTACGACTACTACCACCACTACGACGACCAATTCTTCTAGTACTCCTCGGTCGGTGGGTGACAAAGAAACAACAAGTACTGCTACTGCTGCTGGTTCGGTGCTACTGCTACTGCTACTGCTACTGCTACTGCTACTGCTACTGCTACTGCTACTGCTACTGCTACTGCTACTACTACTATTACTACATTACTACACTACTACTACTACTACTACTACTACTACTACTACTGCTACTACTATTACTACTACTACGACGACGACGACGACGACGACTACTACTACTACTACTACTACTTCTACTACTACTACGACGACTACTACTGCTGCTGCTACTACTGCTTCTACTACTACTACTACTACTACGACGACGACTTGTGGCACTACTAACAAACTAATGTTTCTACGCAGTAGTAACGGGAGTTGGAGTTGCAACGACTCCCATTCCTCCTGCCGCTACTGCTTGCTAATCAAAGCGATGACACTACTACATTACTTCCACTAATGGTTGTTTTGGCGAGATAGCAACAGTAGAGTAGCGCACATACTGCTACTGTGACGACGACTGCGACCACGACTCTTCCAACTTTTGTTTTCATCAGTAGTCTTCCTCCATGGCGCAGTTCTATTTGGTTTGCTCTGTTCTTGTCGTTTAGAGCACTGAAGTTTTCGCTATTGAAATCATCGTTTTCACCGCCTTCTTCATCATAAACACCGCATTATGACTCGTCTGCAACTCGAGTCTCTGGCAAATGCCGGTTCAGTTTCGTTTATTCCTATTCCCCGCCAAAATCATGCAGCTTGACATCTTTGCAGCTGAGGCGGTGATGTATCAAGCGCCCGATGCAATGCTGGGCAGCTACGTGCCGGGGATGCCAGGTTTTCCGGCAGAATGGTGAGCCCACGAAGCCAAGGTTGTGTTCGAATCCATCAGGACGACTCGCCCGCGGAAACGTCAACGGAACCGTATGCTCCGCCAGCTCGCCCAGGCATGACAGGCTCCGATTGGGGCGGAGCCAGCTATGGTGGCTACACCAGCTATGCGCAGCCAGTTGCTGGCGTTGCCCCCGGCACTATCGTAATTTTTAGCTGCCGAATAGGTTGATTTGCCTTCGCGTCATTGGTTCAAGACAGGAACAGCTCAGTCCTGGCACAGGCCCGCGATTAAGAAACGAAGTATTGTTCGTTAATGGCTGGCCTCCGGAAGTCCAATAGTTGCATGGGGAACCTTGCAGACCATGCAAAGGTGACGAGCGAGAGCCTCGTTGGTGCTGAGACCGGTAGTACTGCCGTCTCCCCCGTGTCCAGGATTTGCCGGATCGGAATTCAAGTTTCACTGCACAAAGAGGTCATGCAGTCCTGCATAGCCAGCAAAGAAACACATTCTATTATTAATTGCGGATACGATACGTGACCACGTTGTGCCTGATCCACCAAGCTTCTAAGTGTTACCAGTGCACAGCAGTCAGGTGCAGCTCGTGCACCAGGACATGCACGAAAGAATCGTAGCTCGTTCTCCGGTGCCGAATGGTCTGTTCCAGTCCGACTGCATGAAGAAAACTTTTCAACGACGTTTCATCTTTGTTGCATGAAAGATCCAAGACGGCTGGGGCTGGTCCACTGTCGTGCCATCATCTCGCGCCGCATGCCCCAAGGGCATGGCATCTCAGTGACGGAGATGGCAGCAAGCATGATTTACACCAGCGCTACTAGAGGTCTTTCATTCAAGCACCCTTCAGCTCAGATCTTCGCCTCTACATAAACCATGGCATGAGACAGTGGTGTCTGTCTGTCAAGCCGCACCGTGTCTCATGGGGCCATCGCTTCAGTTTCACTCCGAATATCTCAGTCTAGTGGTCCGAAGTAGACTATGACTACAGTTGCCGGTCTAGGAAGCACTTGGATGTTTCGCAAACGGGTATTGTGTGAGTCGATATGAGTCGATTTGCTGAGTGCACACGCGACAGGGCAGTGTGAAGATACTCCATCGAAGCAGCTGCCCAGCAGAAAGGGCGTTTCTTGAATCCCAATATAGCAGTGACGTCATATTCGGCAGGCTGCTAGCACCAGGCAAGTATGTCTTGTAGTGTCCCAGAGCTTGACACCCCAGTCGTTCGGCGTGCAGCTAGCTTGATCGGCAGGAGTGGCAGGATCAATAGCGGTACTGAGCTCAGATGTCGCATACTGCTCATATAACTCGCGCCCCCGACGAATCACAATGCTTCGACGGGGGTGAAGTGAGCTTTGCTGAGACAACACATGACTTGCCTGCATGAAACTGAGGCCATGACGGTGGCCTGGCCGGTGTGGATTGTTTCTTCCATGGCCAACTTGGACAATGCATGGCCGAGCCCCTTCAAGTGTGCGTCTGTCTTGACATGTTAGTATGCCATATGGTGGTCGTCATGGGTTCTGCATCCTCTTGCTTGACATTCTGGATTGCATTGATAAAATTCTGTGTGCAATCCACCGCAAGCGTGACGAGACGCATCACAAGAGGAGCATCCCTGCCTGAGGCTCGTGGGCGTTGAGCGAGCCAGGATCGGTGGCAAGTGCCTGGCACAGGTCCTGGCTGACAGGCCAGATGTAGCTGTGAAGCGGCTTCGTGTGGCTGCTGTGTAGCTTGTCCAGCCTTGAGAGATAGCGAAGGGCTCTGCACTCTAAACCTGCACCACGCACTCGCGTGATCGTGGTGCTGCCATGCCTTTCTGCCGCATCCTGGAAGGCAAACCGTCGGACAGCGCCCAGTGACGCTGATCGGTCACTCAATGGGTGCACGGCTGCTGGTGTACTGCTTGCCGTTGCCCTAGATAGCTGATGTGCTTGATGGCTTCTTTTCTGACAAGTGACACAGGCTAGCTGTCAATGCCCTGTCCGAGGTGTGAACTGTACCACATGGGTGAATTCCATGCGGTGGATGATGTGGTTCTGCTCGGTGCTCCTGTGACCACAGAAGCGCGCAAATGGCAAAAGGTCCAGCACCCAGCCAGGATGACACCACAGGTCTGCGCAGGAGCACGAGCGTCATATGTATGTAGGCAGCTAGGCGTGTGGGTGGGTGTACGTATGTTATGTTTGTCTGCCTGCCTGCCTGCCTGCCTGCCTGTCTGACTGACTGACTGTGTGTCTATATGTCCGTCAGTGAATGTATGCACGTAGGTAAGTATACAACGCCTCTACAGTCATACATGTGCAAGGCTGGGCTATCGCATGGCCTCATGAGTTTCGGAGGCCATGCCAAGAGTGAAACTGCAACTTACTGCTTTATCATGGTGAAAAGGCTTGGCTCAAGCCCGACGCCTTAAACTTATGGATAGGTATCACTGCTGGGTGGGCGCAAGCTCCCCAAGTTGACTGCACATAGTTTCAGCGTGGGAGTTTCCACGAATGGAAGCACGAACACCCTGGAAGAGCCACAGAGGATCGTCACACCGACCAGGCAGGAAGGACGGCGCGGCGTGCGAGTAGAAATATTGGGGGCCTCCGAAAGCTACGTTTATTTTCTCTGTTTCGACGAGACAGAGCCTGCATCCCATCATGGAGCTGCTTGTTCCCAAAGTGATTTCTACAGAGACGAGAGGTGCACAGCCAGCTGATGCCCTGCACCTGATCCCACAGAGAGATGCCGAAGCTTATGGCCAGCTCAGAGACTCGCAGCTGCAGAGCGGCAATCAACGCTTGCAGCAAGGCTAGTGACTGGCAGCGGTCGCTGTGCCTCCTGGATCAGTACAGACAAACTTTAGGAAAAGCAGATGGCGCAATCTACGGCTCTACCATCCATGCTGCAGCAAGCTCTGCTGCTTGGCCGTCTCTGCTATCAGTCCTGCTCGAGATGATTGCCTATCAGCTGGTTCCGCAGGTGATCAGCTGCAATAGCATGGTGACGGCATTTACCAGGAGCAGTGCCTGGCCGCGTGCACTCGATACCTTTACGGCCATGTCGAAGCTTATGGTTCAGCCTAACTTGATCACATTTAACTCCTGTTTGTATGCGGGTGATGCTCTTGCGTGGGCTCTCGAGCTTTCCCTTCTACGCAATGTGCATGAGTTTAACATGAGTCCGGACCACATAAGCTACAGCACTTGCATAGGCTGTTGCGGCAAATCGGGGGAATGGTCCAGGGCATTGATGCTATTGGCTGGGATGGATGGAAGCAAGGTGCGTCTCAACGTGATCTGCGCGAGCAGCTGCATCAGCGCCTTTGCAGGAAGCAGCCAGTGGCAGTCGGCACTGGCAATGCTACTGCAATTGGATTATGTTCAGCTGGTTCCGAATGTAGTCAGCTACAGCAGTTGCATGAGTTCGCTAGAGACGGTTGGAGAGTGGGAGGTAGCAATCCGTTTGCTGGACATGATGTCACAGGCTGAAGTGCTGGCCAATGTCATAACCTTTAGCAGTTGCATCAGTGCCTGTGACAGAGCGGGGAAGTGGCAGCACAGTCTGCATCTGCTGCACGGTCTGCAGGGGCTTAGGATCGAACCCAATGCCCAAACATACAATGCTGCAATTTGTGCTTGTGCCCGTGTTGCGTTACTACCCCGTTGCGTGCAGATCCTGCGCGACATGAGCGGGGTCAATCTGTCCCCGGATGCGATAAGCTACGGCAACTGCATCAGTGCATGTGAGGCTGGTGGTGTCTGGCACGCAGCCTTGCACCTTGTGGCAGAGATGCAGGTGCTGTTGATTCTGCCGAACGTGGTCACGCATAGCTCCTGCATAAGTGTATGTGAGAAGGCCGGAGAGTGGGGCAAGGCCCTCAACCTTTTCCTTGAGATGAACAATGTCAGGGTTGCAGCAAATTGCATCTCGTGCAACACGGCCATCAGTGCTTGCGAGAAGGGGGGTCTCCTCAGGGATGCCTTCGATTTTTTGAGGAGCATGAAAAGCCAGAGGTTACAGCCGGACGTGATCAGCTTCAATACCGTACTTAGCACCTGTGAGACGAGAGGCCGCTGGAAGCTGGCCCTGGATGCTTTGGCCCATATGCTGCATGCTCACATGCAGCCCACCAACATCACTCTGAACACAATTATGAGCACTGCAGAGAAGGGTGGCCAGTGGCTGCTCGCCCTGCGATTGCTCGGAACCATGGGCAGCTTTCGGTTGGTGCCAAACCTCATCAGCTGGAGCATTTCTTTGCATGCTTGTGAGACGTGTAACTGCTGGCAGGCTGCCCTGCAACTGCTCAGTAGACTGAAGAGAACGGAGCTGGCTCCAAGCACTACTTGTTTGGAAACGTGTGTCCGATCTTGTGAAAGCGGTGGTCTTGGACATTCATGCTCGAAGCTGCTGGCTGACATAGAGAAGATGCAGTTGACGCAACTGCGGGAGCAAGGAACTGCCAAAGACGGTCGACAACTCTCCGTGCAACTGAAGTCATAGTGCACGCGGGAAGAAATTACTATGCGACCTGACCCGGTGATTATAAGGTGCGCGCGGTGGCTTCTGGCCGAGTTGTGAACGGCTACCTCGGGAAGGATTGGGCCAGGACCTCGTCCACCTCAGGATATGAAGGCTTCAGCTTGCTCAGACAATGCCACAGGTGCTTGCCTTCCTCTACCGGTACCTGGAGTCCGACCCTGAGGTGATGTCTCATAGGCAAACTCCCTGCAACTTCAGTCGCTTGCTAATTTGCTTCGGAGGAGGTGCGCAACTTGTTTGGCCATGTGTCTCATTGTGTCACGGGATGCATGGGCCAGCGCCGACATGAGGTGGGGTCTTTCCGTGGCGGGACTTTCGCAAGTGCAGGCGAGTGCCTCATTGGGCCGTGGCAGGAGGGATCGAGTAGCGGACCGGGATGAATTGCTTGTGGCTGCATGCTTGCTTGCCTATATATGTTGAGAGAGACTCAACAATTGGCGGACGTACGTGAGAGAGAGAGAGAGAGAGTGCTACGCCTGTGCTGGGGGGCCTGTGCCGCCCTCTTGTGCGGGGGGGGAGGACGGAGAGTTAACTCGAGGTTGTGCCCTCGGGGGAGCTTTTCCGTTCGACCCAGTGGTGCTTGAGCTCCACGCCCGTCGCCACTTTGCTTAAGAGGCCCCT